GGCGTGTGGCCCTTGGAGGGGGCCCCGGGCGCGCGGCTATGGGGGGGCCCCACTCCTGGGCATGTGGCTATGGGGGGGGGCCCGCCCCCGGGCGCGCAAGTGTCCCCGCCCTCTGGTGCCTGGCGGGAGAACGGCCACGCCCCCTGGCGCCCGTCAACCTCAAATGGTTGGGGACCACTGATCTAGACTAACACGGCGACCCCTCTGATACTTGACACCACAGGACTCCTTGTAGCTTTTGCAGATCCAGACTAACACGGCTACCCCTCTCATACTTGACACCAAGAGGTTTACTCATCTAGCCCGATTTCTTACAGGCTTTTTGGTAGGCAGGGTTATGAACAATCCCACATCCCCACACAGAGATTACAAAATTCTTCTCCAACTGCATGATTTTATTGTCCCAAAAGATCTGCAGCCTTTTTGGATTTGGTTTAAATGGACCTGATTTAACTTTAGCTTCACTTGTATATTTTTAAGACCCATTTGGGATGGCCATTTTTTTAACATCCTCGCGCTCCCCTCCCCCCCCCAGAGCAGGCAGTAGCTTTTTGCATCTCGAGCCCTCCCTTAAAGTCTTACATCTCTAAACTGAATGGGGTGGCTCAGCGTTGTTCCCCACAGGCACACACAAACGTTTATAATACGAGATGATATGGTGTAGCTCTAACAAGACAGCACCTGGACAATTGCCCTGAATTGCTTTACACTGGACATGGCTTTACCTTGAAGTGGAACAGTTGCATTTTCCAGATAGACCAACAGGTATTTCAGGTAAAAATAAAGAGTTGTCAAAGTAATCATTCCAAAATCTAGAGTCATTTATATTTCTGGATAATAAGAAGTGTCGCATTATGGTAGTAGATGTTATATACAAACAGATAGAGTTGTCTGGATTCATTTATAATTGCATTTGAAAGGATGGGTAAATCTGGCATAGGAAATCCCATCCAAAACTGAAATTCTCACCTGCTTAATTCAATTCCTCCTCTACCTCATTTCTTCTAGTAATAGCACATATATATATTTATACAAGGTATTCAAATGACGTCCTAACAGCCTGGAAAACAGTGAAATAATTCAGATCAAATGTATGCGGCTACAAAATGCTGCTTCTATGAAATGAAAACATAAAATATATGCAATTTTCCCCCGGCAGTTTATTATGGTATGAAGAAAAAACATTCTGTGCTTGAAGCTGACGTTATATTACAAATGTATTGCAAGGTATGACATGACTATTAAAATATGATTACACAAAGTATGAACATTTTTAGAAGTTTACAGTACAGTGGATCTTTTATAAACAGACTTAAATATACATATAACAATAGTAGCTGACAAAAACATCAAAAAGTAACTATTAATGTCGCTAGACTTTTCTCCCCTGCAGAAAAAAAGTCTCACATTAAAAACAAAATTATGAAAAGCCTTGAAACCAGGAACAAATCACCTGTACACTACAAATATACATGGCAGAGGTATGCAAACCAGAAAAATCGCATCATTGGATGAAACCTCCAGAAGGGGGCTTTAACAATGTTTGGCTGATGTTTGCTCTTCGGGTGTTGCTCATGTCACACCATAACTCCTCAATCGGTTGTAATCTGTAGTCACGTAATCTGTGTTAACAGTTATATTATTACGAGTATATACTCAGGGCGAGACAGTTAATGCATTCAACACTCTCATTAACATATGGAGAAGTATATCTCAACTGAAAACGTTGCCGCAATCCTGCAATCAGATATCTGTGGGTGAATACCTCCACGAAGCCATGATGGAATCCACTCACGAGGATCAGTTTGCAGGAAGGGTGCTAAGACCGAGTTGAGAGTTAAAAAAAAAATGCAACTCCTCCATCTTCTTTCTTGACTAGGGAAATAAATTACCACATTTGCTTCCTGTTTAACCAGTTTGCACAGACAACCCCAGCTCATGTGTTAAGTTATGTCAAAAACATAAGTATTTTATGCTGTAATACACAGTATTACTGAAACTAACAATATTATTTGCATATTTATAACAAGGTATAATGAAATTCCTATAATAAAACAAAAAATGTTTGCTATAGATTTATTTACAAACAGTTCAGCAAAGAAGTATAAATACTTCTATATTTAATGTTTAGGAAAACATAATTTACAAAATATTCAAATATATACAGTCATCTGAAAAACTGCCCATATTAAACTTCGATGCAGGCAACGAATTGGCCGCGTCCATTCGTTCGGCATTGAAAGAGGAGGCGATTTGTGTTGGTTTGTTTTTACTTTTCGAAGTCACACACAAGTTATTTACAAGCTAAGTCTGCTTCCTGATGAGCTAAACGTGCCCAGAGCTTTGAGCATGCTGTCCCAAAATGTCGTCTATCATTGTCAAATTGTTCAACCAGTCTTCATCGTTGTTGCTACTGTTCTTCATGAGGGAGTCGATGAAGTCAGTTTCGCTGCAGTTTCCTGGCAAGATCGAATTACTCTGTTGTGGCCCAAAGTCGTACTGCGGGAGCTCGGAGGCAGTGCTCATTCTGTTGAATGTTCCTGACAGCTGGCCTGCGGAGGGGTAACTTGGTGGGCAGAGTCCTTGAGCTGGATTGAGCTGGTTAAAACTGGACATGCCTTGTGGCATGGATTTCATAACATTCATAGCTGGCAATGGTCCTCTGGTTAAATTGTGTCGCAAGTTCTGATTATTCAGCGTGTTTAGGCTCTGGCCGGACTGCCCCAGGTTTAGTTTTTGCATCTGTCTGACCTGGACTCCTGGTGCAATCTGATTAGGAGGCGCTACAGCCTGGTGGGAAAACGGCTGACCTGGCATATTTGGTCTCACGTTCTGCTTGGAGACTAGAGGGTTACTGGAGAATGGCTGCATGCTGGTATCCATTTGGCTTTGATTTGGCATTCTTGAAACCCCAGTCGGTGTCCACATCTGGGCAGCTGTGTTGGGATAGACGGTAGAAATTCTTGGCATAGTCGGCTGTCTTAAGTGTTGCTGAGCTGCTGAGTGATTTGTTAAGGAATTGGAGCTAAAGCTAGACAATGTCATTCCTGGCTGGACTGTGGCATGGCTGTGGACTGTTTGGCATCCTGAGCTCATGCCCAGCGAGGATTGGTTTGGTCGCAGAGGCATGTTAAAATCGGAATTCGGTGGGAAAATTCCTTGCTGTTTGCCAGGATTATGCGGAATCATGACCATTGCCCCACTGTTTTGGTTAACAGTGGTTGGAGTAATGCCGGAGCCCAAGCTGTTCTGAAGTAGTCCTGGATTGGACGGCATCATGCGGTGGCTGAGTGGAGGAGCTGGCATGGCCTGCCCGCAGTCAGTAGGAACAGGCTGTGGCATTGCTGTATCGAAAAAGACGTATATGTTAATCATTAAGGGTGCGTTTATCCCCGACACACGGCAGAGCTTTAACACGATGCTCTGCTCAGATTCCTCTCTTTCCTTACACAGGCCTCTCCTTGTTTCCTGTCACAGAATTACTACTGAGGTGGCAACAGGCAAATTCCACGTGATGTGACAAAACGTGGACATAATGATATTTTGCATGGAAAGAAAAGTAAGAGCCCTGCCGGGAATGAGACCCCGGCTTTTAGGCGCGCGCGTTTTCACTCCTTACCCTGAAACTGACTCATCTGCTGGGGTGCAAAGGAAGCCCTCTGCTCAGACGCGGCTCCCAGCATGCTTTGTTTCTGCTTCTCCTGGAAAGCAAGAGAAAGGCTTGTCACGTGGCGACCCCTGGAGGAGCAGCGATAACGGCCGACCTCTGACGTCTGACCAGTTGGGCGCTAACAACCTGTCCAGCGACACACACAAGCTCTTCAGATGCGCCACCCTGTCAGGAACTTAATTCTTCACATGCCCCTTCTTGCAAAGGTGCCCTCTAAATAGCACAGCCCAACTAGGGGCTGCCTGAGGCAAAAGTTGTGTAGCCAGGTCTACATCTACAGCGGATCTGGAATGACACTGGGGCCACTTTGTTCATCCCATTGGGGATGGGGGTGTTCTACCCCCCCAACTCTCCTTGTTTCTGTTCCAATGGGGCCTGAATCAAAGCCAGCCGAGCCACTGAGAGCCCTTCCATTATCCGCAGTGGATCAGGCTCTCTGTGCTGCAGGGAAATCCACAGGATCATTTTTCTGGGCACATCCTTTGACTCACCAGATTCTTGGGGGAGGAAATGAAAAGTGCTCCCAGCATGTGAACAAAACCCAAATGGGGCAGACTGACGGAGGAGAGTGCTGGGAAGATAGGCCCCCCTCCCATGCCGAGCCAGATCCTTGTTTTAAACCAAACCTTACTATGGACCCACGGGGAGAACTCCTGGGAAACTCCCTCCTTTACCAGAATACTGGCGGCGCTGCCTAAACTGAGCTGACGTGTAGGCCGTGCACCTTTCCTTCTGCTTCAGGGACATCTTCTCCAGCCCAGCCTGCCTGTGCTACTGGAACTCTGACCACGTTCTTCCAAACGGCACTGGGCCGTCTGCCCTGCGATGGCGTCTACAGTGCAGAGAGCACAGTACGGACTGGGATGTGCGGCCCACAATTCCAGCTATGGGGCCAGGCAAGGGGGGGGGGCATTTTGGTGCGAGAAGGAGGCAAAAGCAGAGCGAGGAGGCAGCCAGCCAGCAATGGGGACAGATTCTAGGGATGAAGAGGTCCTTGGGTCCCCCCTCCAGCGGCCAGGTGCAGGGCAGGCCCGGGGAGGAAATCTCCCGGTTGAGTGGGGGGCCAGGCGAGGGGGGGGGGGCATTTTGGTGCGAGAAGGAGGCAACAGCAGAGCGAGGAGGCAGCCAGCCAGCAATGGGGACAGATTCTAGGGATGAAGAGGTCCTTGGGTCCCCCCTCCAGCGGCCAGGTGCAGGGCAGGCCCGGGGAGGAAATCTCCCGGTTGAGCGCTCCCGTCGCACTGTCCTCCTGCAGGGAGTGGCGAGCTCAGTGCAAACAGGACTAGAAATAGAGCCGGACCATCTACACGGAGGAATCCTCATGGTGCAGGAGGAGGTGGGAATGAAGAGCATCCCCCCAACCCTGCCTCACTCACACTTCGAGGAGGACCCTCAGCCCCTGCCCTCTCTTCTCGCACAGACCCTGGACAGCAGCAGATGGAAACAGCGGCGTGGAGGTGGCCAAGTTACTCTTCCACATAGCGTGTGTGTGTGTGTCTGGGTGTAAACACACATGCACACCCCAACACACACCCCCTCCTCCCACTGCAAATGTCATTCGCGCGGTAACGCAGCCCCCCCTCTCCCCCACACACATTACAGGAGCCGCGTTGGCACAGCAAGGCCCAACCTGCAATAGCTGCCGTCTCATGATCTGCTGCTTCAGCAAATGGTTCCTCATCGTGTATCCGTTGACTGTCGCTGGCGCAGGCCCCGAGCCTCCACTGGGCATAGTGCCTGGCTCCTGAAGTCTGGTAACAATGCCTGGATTCTGATCCTGCCACAAAAGATAAAAAAAGGAAAAAATCAGTCTCACTGGGGTCATCATAACAGACGCTCACGGTACCATCCACTGGGGCCGTCCCCCGCCAGCAGCCCAACTACTGTCCCATCCTGAACCGCCTCATCTGGGTGTCTACAGAGTCTGCACCACTGGATGGCTCACATCACGGCTGACGCAATGAGTAGCAGTGGCCTGTTCTGGCTTCAGAGTATCAACAAAGGAAAAATCTGCAGGATCAAAGGTTCACCCAAAGTTCTTTGTCCCGGCCCAAGGCCCCTGATTCACACTCACACAGTGTGTAACTGGCAGATGGGATGTGAATCAAGCCGCATGTTCTCCACTAATTCTCCAAGGTGATGCTAAGGCCAGGTCTACCCCACACCCGGCAGTTCAGCTTATGGTTCATGCAACGAGTCGGCTTACCTTAAGCCGAGCTTGGCGACATCCCCACAATGGGAGGTTGATGGGAGCAAATGCTCCTGTTGGCTTTTCTTACTCCTCACAAAAGCAGGAGTACAGAACTCCAGCGGGGGGCACCCTCTGAGTTCGATTTAGCAAGTCTTAACTAGGCTCGCTGAATCGAACTCTGGAAGATCAATCACAGCAGCGGTGCTCTTCCATTTAGTGTAGACAAGGCCTTAACGACAAAGGAAGATGAGCTGGAATATACCCGGGGTTACATAAAGGGGAGAAAGGAGAAGCATGCGGCGAGGAACTTAGCCCTGGTCTATACTACATCAGACGGTTGACGTAAGATACACAACTCCAGGGGTGTAAATTACGTAGCTGGAGTCGATGTAGCTTACATTGTGTTTCCACGCCATCCATATAGAGGGAGGCCAATGGGAACAAACACTCCCATCAGCTTCCCTTACTCCTTGTGAAAGCAGGGGTATCGTCACCGATGGGGGTGCCCTTTGAGTTCAATCTAGAGGGTCTATCCTACACCCACTAACTCAAACACGGGAAGATCGACTGCAGCAGCATTGATCTTCTGCATAGAGCAGACGTACCCACAGGGAAAGCAGAGGCACAATCATGCAGTGAATGGGGAATAGGGGAGACCAGTCTCAGAGGGGAAAGCTCCTGATAAAGATGATCTGGAAACAAGGGCGAGAATCCGAGTATGCAATGGAAAGAAAGAGGCAGATTTCCAACTGGCGCCAGTCAGCCTTACTGCACTGGGATCAATGAGCCAGATCCCCAGCTGGTAGGAACTGGCATTGCTCCCTTGTCGTCAATAACAGCAGCATCAATTCCCGCCACATGAGACTCTGTCCCAAAATGAACAGAAGAGAAGATTCTTACGGCTGTTAATCACAACAACACCCCAAAAATTATGGGAGCAGAACTTGAAAGGACGAGGAAGTCAGAAACACTTAAGCCAAAACATCTTGCAGAGGTAGCATGTAATCAGGGGAAGAGAAATTAAGTGAAAAAGCCACGTCTTCAATGGAGAGGCAGAAAAGCAGGGAAATGCTCCAGCAAACTCTATACCCCGACACGGTAACAACCAGTATATTCCCCATTTTAACATCCAGCTTTTACATTATTTATGATGTTTTGTTAGTATTGGCAAAGAAAATTATGTACATTATATGCAGCATTCTTAACGAGGCCATGTTTCCTTTGTTTTCAGAATGGAAGCCCACATCCTTTGTTTGAGAATCAATGCTATCAGAAGATAAGCCAGAAGAAAGTGATTGTTGCCTTTTGACATCTGACAACGAGCAAACAGGATGCGATCAATGGTTCGGAGTGACCAGAAGGAAACGTTGGAGGGTGTTTGTCAAAAGCCAGGCTGTCAGAGCTGGAACGCCTTTTGTGATGGCTTCGCTATAAGGGATTGCCCCGGTCATTTGGAGATATATACATTTTTTAAAAATAGGAGCGATTACCAAGAAGGTCACTGAAATTACTCACTTTTATGGTGCCTCCTTTTGTGGCAGCACTTAGGTCTATTATGCAAAACCACAATGGATGAAATGTAAATGCCTGTGAGATAATTCACCAAAAGACAAACCTGCAACTCATCACTGGTCTCATTATCATTCCTATTCAGGGGCAGTCTCACAAGACCAGACATTATTACCTCGGCTTTGCTTACAATCCTGCCGGACACTATTCCGTTTCTCTCCTCCCTCCCACGCAAGGAGAAGCTGGCGTGGGGGGAGTAAATATGATTTACTCCTGATGTAAAGACAAAAGTTCATGTAAAGCTAGTGTTCTGCTTTCATGTCAGATATTATTCCGTGGCCACAGTTAAGCTTTGAATAATATGGATTGCCTCTAGGGGAATATTTGAAAGAGCAGGGATTCGGTTTGTGTACTCGGCACATAAAAGACACTGAAATGTTCATAGCACTAAAATCCCTGCCACCTAGCCAATTTCCTCCGAACTTGTCTTGTTGCGTGCAGAGGGTCTGTGCTTACTGAAGCAAACGAGTTGAGCGCAAGCACAATCGTTCTGTTTCGCTCAGGGCTATTGAATTAACAAGTCATAACATTTAAAGTCTTTTTTTTTTTAAACGAATCGTGTCCACCTCATTCTAATTCCTCCTAAACCTCATTAGGAAAATAATGTTGGTTTTTCCGTATTATTAATGGGAAAGGAAGGGAAATCACATTACTAATTGCAGCTGCAGCAGAATGGCCTTGCGATACAGCAAGCTCTGTAACGATTTTGCTGCAAGAAAGACAATCAGACAAGTTTGTGTGCTAATACTTGGAACAGGTTGATACCTTTGGGAGAAGAGTTTAATTAGCCACAAAAGAAAAATAATACACATGCACACATTTTTGTTAGGGGAAAATTACACAAAAAAAGGGGTGGGGGAGGGACAGGGAAGGAATTCAGAGGCTTTCATTTTGCAGTTCACGTTTAGAATGAGCCAAAACAAAAACAAAACCAAAAAATCTCAATTTCCACCACTAGTGGGAACTACTGCATTCCGTTACAGTAGAAAAGAACCATGACTAAGAATAGCTCTTGCATGTGGTCTAAAGGATGCTGCTATCTGTACCAAAGGTTAATGAACTTTAAATATTTTTCCTTTTCATCACTACCCAAGAAAAATCACTTCCCCCGAAAAGGCCAAACAAGCCATACTCTGAGCTGGCCCATGCTTTGGGCTATCCCATTTTAAATTTCAGGAAGACAGCATGTGGGGCAGGACTTGAAATTCAAAGCCAGAGATCACAGCCCTGGGTGTTCACACATGGAGGGGCGCGTATCGTTACTTATGGTTACAGCCTGAGATATGAATGCCGGGTGCGCAGTCACAGAATTCCTCTGGTGTTTTTCATCATACATCACAACTTTGCAATCTCTCTCTCTCTCTCTCCCTCTCCCCCCAAAACTCAAATCAAAACATCAGCAGAATCTTTAACCACACCGCACACTCTAAGGAGCCTGAAAATGTTGAAAGCACGTGGTTCTGTTGCTAGGCAAACTGTCACTCAGCAGTTTCAGCGCTCACAGTACTCAGTGGGCTTTCCAAAGTGGCCGTTCCTGTTGGAGAAGGAGTAAGTGCAATGAGATGGTGGACAGAGACCCAGGACCATGGACTAGTGTTGGGAGCCAGGCAGGAAGAGTTAGAGGCAACGGGAATGGACTGTATGCTCTGTGTCTGTGCCCAGGTGTGACAGAGCACTTGCCCTGCACTGGCCCTTGAAGGGCAAACCCCAGCCCGGAGCAAGGGTTGGGAATAACGCCCCAGCTGATGCAGGCCTCATTAACTAGGGCCCAGCTGGGGCCTATAAAAGGAAGGACTCCTGGAAGGAGGAGGAAGATGGGCGGCTGCTCTGGGAGGGGAGCAGGCGACTCCCTGGAGTGAAAGCAGCGCTGGGGAAGCAAGGCAGGGCTCGGGCCGAGGAAGCTCCCTGGCCGCCGGGCCTGAAACACGGCCCGTGGAGTAACAACTACCCCTGGAAGGGGGCCCAGAGACTGATGTGGGCACTGAGGGAGGAGAGTGTCCCAAAGAGGACGCCGTGACCGGGAGAAAGAGGGGAGACACCACCAGAAGGAAGGCACCCAGCTGTTAAGAAAGAGCGAATTCCCAGGACAGACGGCTGGTGGTGCTGCAGTGGTGAGTCGGCCCCCTCACACCAGGTACAACCATTACGTCTGTGGGGGAGGGGAAACGCCCCTGGTCTTTGTGTACACCAGTCATGAGTCAGACACATCGCTGGCCATTCACAAGCAAAAATAACTAGA